CTGCATTTTACAGACAAGGGAACCAAGGCATAGTGAGGTCAAATGACTTGGCTGATAAGAGGTATAGCCAAGACTGGAGCTCAGACAGGCTGTCTTGAAGCCCACGCTCTTAACTGCTACACTAGATCACACTATATTACACTAAATCATGACTTTATACTGCTATGATTCGAATTTACAGTGGATGGCTACCTCTGGGCAGAACAATACGTATTTCTCCACCTGAGAGCCTCATGCTTTTTTGGTACATTACAAAACATGATAATATAACGTTATGGAAGAAAATGACAAAGACTTATATTTCCCAAATTTATATGTGCAAATTTGGAACTATAATTTTGCATTAATGTAAGCTTTGCATTTAAAAGAGAATTTAACTTTGATGTATAACAGACAGATTGCATTAAGACCTTAAATCTGTAAGTCATTGTTAAAAAATAGTTTGCTTATTTTAAGTAAAGAAAACTTTCCTCTTTGATATGTGCTCTTAGAAACATGAAAATAAAATTCCTTTCCTCAACTGTCCTTTTCCATTTCACACATATTGATCTTTCCATATGTTTTAAATAATGATGAAATTAATAGGAACTGTTTTTAATAAATCCAAATCATAGCTCCTTTCATGTCCAGATATTTTGGGAAGACTGAGGTGAAAAAGCTGCTTAAGTATTAGGAAAAACGAAGAACCACCAGGAACAGCTTTAGAAAAGAAGCTGAAAGATGGTTAAGTTGGAAGGCAACTATGGAAAGGTATCTGCAGGTTGGGGATGGGAGGGCACTCCAATAAGGAGGATTCTGAAGTGGAGCGGGACCAGGCCAGAGCCCAGGTGAAACAAGACAAAAGGGAGGAATATGACCAAAGACTGTTTGTTTGACCGACATGTTAGCTGTGAATCAATGGTAAAGATATACCCTGTAGAATAAGCCAAGCCTATCCGTGAATTCTCACAGCCTTTTTTAATGTGTGGCATTGGGCCAAAGCTCTCAATATTTTTTGAACCTCAGATATTTATGCAATGGGCCATGATATTTATCTAACTGAATCGCAAAGAAGAATTAATGGGAGGACATCATGCAGTTCTCAGCACAGAGTGGCACTGTGGGTGCTGGGGAAACAAAGATCTTCTGCCCCCTAATAGACATAAAGCAGGTGGGCAGAGGAAGCCAACAGGAAGACCTCTTCACAGGCAGGCTGGGTAGTTGTATGAATCAACTCAAATTTTCTTCATAATTTATAGTTATTTTGAAAGTCTTTATGATCCTAATATTTTCTAAGTCAGTAACGGGAACAATTTTTCAAAAATTCATTATCGAGGAAAAATAAAGCTATTTCAAAGCATTTTTTCAATCATACTAGTAAACCATAAATTCACACTATACATGTACTGTGGGAAATACTACTTGATAAGGTCATTATTTTAGCTATTAAATTATTAAGAATACTACTCAATCCTAAAAAAAGAAAAAATCGTGCCATTTCTGACAACATGGACGGACCTTGAGGATATTATGATAAGCAAAATAAGTCAGAAAGAGAAAGACAAATACCGTATGATTTCACTCATATGTGGAAGACAAATACATAGATAAGGAGAACAGATTAGTGGTTACCAGAGGAGAAGGGGGTGGGGGCAGGGCGAAAGGGGTAAAGGGGCACATATGTATAATGACAAATAAAAACCAAACTATTGGTGGTGAACATGATGCAGTCTATACAGAAATATAATAATGTACACCTGAAATTTACACAATGTTATAAGCCAACATGACCTCAATAAAATAACTTTTAAAAAATTATTAAGTTATTAGGATAGCTCAAACTAGTCCAAACAATATTAGAAATGGTTTGAAATGTACTACATTTAAAATTCTGTCTTCTGTATTATATATGTTTACATATGTATTATAATTACTATTTTTTAAATATAGAAATGACTATATTTGTTTACGTAATGAATTTGCTATCATATTAGATGAAACCATGATTTTACATGATTGTAAGAACATGAACAGAACACAGGGAAATCTGCGAGACATCTATTTTACAAATAGTTTTTTTTAGTTAAAAAAAGTCTTCAATTACTATAAGCACTCGTACGTCTGGAACATCTTGGAGTTTATTTCAAATTCAGCACTTTATTAGTCATTACTGACATGATTTTGATACTGTCAGATTTAGGAAAGCATTCGTCAAACGACCAGGCCACAGCATAATACTCCCAGGGCCCTGGGTCTTGCCACAGTTTCAAAGCTCAGTGGTGGCCCAAGAACCACACAGCAGAGAGTTGTGCAGACAAGTCTGCCACCCAGAGGCGAAAGCAGGAAATTCACCTTGGATTTTATTTGTAAGACAAAACTAATAAATGTTAAAATTCTAAAAATTATTTGTTATTACTTATCGTATTTAAAAGACACAGGAAATTCTTTATAAGGTTCTCTCTGCAGGAACGAAGCCTTTTAGTGCCAAGCTACATAAAAGTGTGGCTGAGAACTCTCACAAGATGGAAACAAGCCCAAGATGGCACTAGTCACAGGTGCACAGTTTGCAAATTAAAAAATTGAATTTAACTGTATTCTCTACAGTAGATGCTTTTTTTTCTTTTTTTAATTAATATAACACGTGTTTCCATAAGTGTACATATAAGTTCTGGAACAACCACCATGAATCTATTTAGACATGTGGACCAAAAGCTAAACTAATTATCAGAGACATTTCTTACTTAAATGAGAAAAGTTTTTTTTCATTAGAAGGTCTTCTGCGTAATTTTCTTCTGGCAAAGGAATAAAGTTTATTTAGAGTAATTCTGTTTGGCAGATGGTCAGGGCTCCTAAAACATATACCAATAATTGTTAAGGTTAAAGCAAAACAGTCAATTCTATTAAACACACAAAACTTCAAGCTTCTAATGGCCTAAACAATAGGCTGATTATAAAATAGAGATTTATGATATCCTCGTTTTGTCTTCGAAGTCTGGACGCTGGGATTACTGCTAGCAATGGGCCATCATTTAAGCTTTAAGTATTTTACAATGAACTACGAAAGATCAAACTTAAGGAAAAACATGGCATACATTAGAATGTGAAAATGATTTTAAGCATAAAATTTGAAAACTCCTTTTTTCACACTGTAAAATCCTATTTTTTGAAATAATGTTTTGGGTTCTCAAATGTTATACTGTTTTCATCTCATTTTATTGTTTAATTTTCATTCCAACACACTTTAAAATAGAAGGATGATTCTAAACTCACACCCTTTTGTGACTTTCCAGAAAATTCATTCTAGGAATACTAAGGGTTTACTGCTGACTTCAAACTTGTTTTTTATTAAACTAGAAGATTCTACAGTTGATTACTATTTCCAAGTAAATTTTTTTCCACAAAATCTTAGCAAAATACTGCTTTAAAGCACCATGTTGTCAACTAAACATTCTTCTCTTGGTCCTGTCATTGAGGGACCTCATTATTATCTGTAAAAGTTAATTCTCCTCCCTTTTTATACCCCTTAATCTTCCACATGCCCTGAGTTGCATCACTCTGTAAAAGATTCTTCCACCATCAATGATGGCTGCAAAATTTCTGAGTGTGGAGTACAAACAGTTCTACTCTCACATCTCTATATCTACATTTATTTAGGAAATAAATGAGACTATGGGTCTAAGTCCAGCCTGCTGTATAGACGTCCTCTACACACTGCTGAAATTGGAGCAAATGTAATAAAGACAACTCAGTAGGACAGTATGGTTATTACTTCAGATAAAAGCTCAATGATTAAAGCTCAAAGTGTTTATCAGGGAATATATTGCAAGAGTTTACATAGAGCCCAAGAGTTGGGAAGGTTCAAGTGCATTCTGAAGCGACAAGGAAAAGCTGGCCAATCAGAAGAATGACTTCTTACATGTACCCTAAGAGTATCAAAAGGTCTGTGGATCTGCATCATACATTCAAACAATAAAAGAAATACAGAAAAGATGGCTACTTGGTAGTTCTTGAATGATTCAAGTTCATTGTTATGTATCTACAATTTAAAGGGTAAATTGTGAAACACTCTCCATACCTCTAATTTCTAAAGAAGACGTAGTGATAAAATTAAATGCCTTAAAATTTCTTGAATCTTTCCTATTCTTTCTTCCCATCTCCAAAGCTACCATCTTCGTTCTCATCATTTTTTAAATCTATATTCATTTAACCACTTCCTAATTAATCTGTTGGTCTCCAGGCCCAACCTCCTACTCTACCTTACCACTGTTACATTTTTAAATCCATCCTCCAAACAGTCCAGAATAATCTCTGTGAAGTATAAACCAATCACATCACTTGCCTGCTTAATATTCAGACAGCAAGTCAAGGGTCAGAGTGTTCCTGTCTCCCTTCCCACCTTCTGCTCACTGGCAGGGGTCTTCTCAAGGGAGGAGGGCCAGGGGCTGGCCACATCCCAGCCCGCACACTCAGGGTCTACAAGGAGGGGCTGTCGCCAGTGGCTCCTTTGGCCTTTCTGCTTCAACGCAACCACAAATCATATTTTGGGGGGATAAATTAAAATAACTCCTCATCAAGTAATGTCAGGACTCCTAATTTACGGGTGAGGTCATTCAGAAAAACATCTTAATTCTTAAAAAAATAGTTTTCAAACATTTTTAAATGACCAAAATCATTTTCCTCAAACAATATCGAGTGTAGAATCCCAACAAAAAGTGGTTGAAATAGCATTTTTGAGGCTGACAACATAGGTAGAGTTTAGATCATATAGAATTGTATAGGCCATAGAATAAAATTCAAATTTGGTTGGCGCAATGAAAAGTCAGTGGGAAGAAGAAGCAAGGATGTGATAAAACCTGATTTACATTTTTGAAAGACCAATGTTGTTGCTGTGTGTAAAAGAGTTGAAACTACTGAGAATTTCAACCTTTCTAATGTATTTTCATAAACCCCAATTTAACCTACAAAGAGTGATACATACTTTCTAAACAATGGACCACCATGAAAAAGGAGTCACAGAATACCTGATCCTCGCTGGTTAATCCCAGGTGCATCACAAGGTAAAAATGCACCAGGAAGTCTGAGTTTGGCAGAATGTCCTGGCGTCTGGTCATCATGGCACAGATCAGTTTGTAGGCTTGTAGTTTGCCTTCTTTATATTCATTTGGCAATGTTGTCGCCTGCCAAGGAGATGATGTTTCAAGATTTAATCAACTCCAGATGTAGGGCATTTTGACATTTTATTTACTTCTCAGTTTTCCATAAGAGTTGTTTATGGAGATGTGGGATGCTTTGGCTTTAGTTAAGACCCAGCCTGTCTTCAAAACATGCAGTCTTGGGCAATTACATTTTTTAAACTCAATTTCAGAAAAGAAGAGGAAATTACAATAAAGGAATAAACACATATCCACTTGCCTTAAAAAGCCATGACGCAAACATTCTGAGTGGTGGGATCAAGACCGGAGGAGATGGAGAAGATTGGTTATCTAGGCTTATTGCTAGATTATCCCGTATCTAATTCACAAAGAAGAGAATTTTAAGGAAGGCAACACACAGTTCATCCCAATGATATTTCAATATTGTGTCCCATGGTCAAATAGCTGCTTCCAATTAAATTTCTGTAAGTTGATTGAAAACCTACAATATTTACAAGTTTTTCTTTTATCATGAGATCTATTGTTCTTTTGAATTGTGTGTCTGACTTCCTGTACACGGTTTTAGATTTAATACAAAACAAGGGTATTGTTTTTCCTTTAATGTTAATGCCTGGAGAGGTCCTGAACTCCAAATGACAAGGAATGGTTTAACAAGTTATACTGTATAAACATGAATCATGTTTTTGAAGAAAAATGTAATAACATTTTTGTTATAAACAAAAACCAGAATGCAAATTGTATGTACTCTAACATTCTACTTTTGTAAAACGTGTTTATCCACAGAAATAAGACTATATATTAATACTGGGTATCTCTATGGGATGGTGATGTTAATTTTATTCTTAGTATCTTTCTACACTTTTCAAATTTTGTACAAAAAACCAGTATCTCTTTCATAAAGAGAGTAACTAAAACTACTTAATACCCTATTCTTTAATATCCTATAGTAATATGCTACTTATGCATTAAATAAAATAATAATTGTACATTTATAAAATGACCAAACTGTAAGTATTATTATTTATTCTTTGATAATCAGACGTACTTTGTCTAAACACCTAATTTTCATTCCAGAATATGGTCAGTAGCTAACTGCAACACAGTTTTTATATTAAATGATAAATCAATTTTCCCATATTAGAATAAAAGGTAACGTAGCAGGACGTACCTTTGCCAGTTTGTACCAGAGTTCATAGAGATAGCCAAAAACTTTGGCATGGATCTTGGGTGACTGGATATTATTCACATCTCCAAGAATTCCCAAGACTCTTCGCCATAACACAGCAGCAGAGTCTGGATGCCAACCAGTGAGGTTCCCTCCAGCGATGATGCTACAGTCATCTGCAAGGCATTCGCTGCTATCTGTGGGGAAAAACGTGTGTTAACTCTGTAAACACAACCTTGATTTCATCGTCACAGCCTTTTTTCTTTAATGCAAATTACCTACGTTTGAAAATTTATGTATTCAGAGTAAAATAATTAAGATGAGAAGTGTGAAATGGCTGACAATTTGAAGGGATAGAAAAGCAGGATCAGTTAAGAAAGGTCAAATGATTTTGATTCTTCAGACTAAAAGGGCAACAACCTACAGATGACAAAACAGTTTCTGGAGACCTTGTGAAGGGTCTAATAGAGCAGAGGAGGGGAAGGAGGAGAACCTTGAGCAGGATGGGTAGGGAGCAGGGCCATGAAAAATAGGGGGCCAGGGAAGATCTCATTGCTGGAGGGACATTTGTGGTGGTTGTTATTGTTAACTCAGATTTATCTGGGTATAATTGGTTTACAATAAATTTTATCCTTTTTAGATTCAAGGAGTTTTAAGAAGTGTATACAATCATGTAACTGCCACCATAATAGAGACATGGAACAGCCTCATCACTCCAAAAGTGCCCCTTTATAGTGAGTCCCCTCTCCCTACTCTCTGCTCCTGGCAACCACCGCTGTTTTCTGTCCCTATAGTTTTGCCTTTTCCAGAAGGTCATATAAATGAAATCCTACAGTGTAGCCTCTCTGTCTGATTTCTTTCACTTATCACAATGCATTTGAGATTTATCCATGTGGTTGGATGTATCAGTCTGTTCCTTCTTATTTCAGATCAATATTCTGTTTTGTGGATGTATCATAGTTTGTTTAACTATTCACCTGCTGAAGGACCTATGGATAGTTTCCTGTTTTGGGTGATTATAAATAAAGCTAACATAAACAGTCATTTGTAGGTTTTTGTGTGAATATATGTTTACACTTCTCTTTTTTAAGACCAGAATCATAAAATGGCATACATTTCTTTGCTTATTCCTTCCTTTTAGTAGACCATATCCTACTAGTGGCTGCCTGAGAGAGGGGCATGTCCTTACACATCTGCAAGTGTTTGTTCCCTGACTTGTGATTCCTAGTTTGGTTGGGTATAGAATTCTGTGTTGGAAATGCTTTGATCCACTTTCCTATAGTTTCCTTCGTAATTTTAAAGTCAGCAGCATTCTGATACTTGAAATATTTTAATAAAAAATTATTAACTTTGGAAAATTTTAGTATCCTCTTTTTACACCTAGTATTCTGAAACCTCTTGATGTGCTTGGTATTATCTATTTTCAGCCACTGTGTTTGGCATTCATTAGGTCCTTTCAATAGCAGTACTAATGTTCTTCAGTTCTTGTCTTTCCAATCCATCCATTAAATTGATTTTATTTCTGTCATATTTTTAATATCCAAAAGCTCTTTCTTGTTCTCTCAGCCTATTTTTATATTCTTGGTCCCTCTTTTATGAATGCAATATAATTTTCTCTCTCTAAAGATATTAGTAGCTTTTTAAAATTTTATTTCTTCCTGCAGTCTCTTCTATTAAGATGTGCTCCACCCTAGCCCATCTCCATATTCTTATATTTGCCTCATATTTTCATATTAGGTGTCTTTTTCAAATGGCTGGGGATCCTTGGCTATCTGTTCATATTTAAGAATGGTCCACAAAAGAGATGAATGGAAGCTTAGTCCACAGGCATGGTCTGTGGGAAGTTTCATCATATTCTTAGAGAACCTCAGACACACATATCTTTAGGGTTTTTTTTCTAGAACTCAAATTCCAGGAAAAAGACTTGATCCTGCTCAGAGAGTATGCAAACTCTTATTTAGTCCCTTTGTTTTCAAGACAGCACCTCTACATTCAGCTGACAAACAATCCAGCTGACTTGCCAATCCTCCTCCCTTTTTTTCCTTCCCCAAAGCCCCAGTAGATAGTTGTATGTCATAGTTGCACATCCTTTAGTTGCTGTATGTGGGATGCAGCCTCAGCATGGCCGGAGAAGCGGTGAATCCGAACTCAGGCCGCCAGTAGCAGAGGGCGCGCATTTAACTGCTAAGCTACGGAGCCGGCCCCAAGTCTTCTCTATTCTAATATTTTTTCTGCTTAACTCATCTATTAATGAGAGTTAATATTAAAATTTCCTACTGTGAGTATGGTTTTACCAGTAGTTCCTTATAATTCTGTCAAATTTTGCTGCATATATCTGGATGCTTTCAAGTTCATATAAATTCAGAATTACCGCTTCACTAATAAATGATTTTGCTTTGAAGTTATGTGACTAACATACATATAGGTAGACCAGTGGTCTCTCTTTCTTTCTTCATATCTATCAATGTTTTTATTTACTCATTTAGGATCTCCCTGTACATAATGTATTAGTGGTACCCCTTGTAAACATCATATGGCTGGATTTTATTTTTTCAATCTAAATTAAGAGTTTCTGATTTTAACTGCAAGTTTAAATTGTTTATATTTATTGTAGTTGCTGATTTATTTGATTTTAATTCTAACATCTTACTTTAGGCTTTCTGTTTAAGTCACCTTTGCTTTGCTTCTCTTTTGAATCTCTGGAGGGAGTTTAAAGAGTTGTGTCCCACCTCCACCACTAATCCCCTTTCTCTATTGTCTTACGCCCTTTGTTATTAACATAATCATTCCCAAAGTTCTATTCTTCACACCATACAAATATAGACTGGTTTCTAGGCAATTACCAACCTCCACTGAGTGTCATTTTGAGTATATATGTTGTTGGTGTTTTTAAGGCCTAATCAAAGAAATTGAAGTACAATCTATGGAAATGAGGAACTCAAGTAGAGGAATGAGAGGAGCCAACAAGGAGCAAGAAGGAGTGAATCTGAGAAGGAGCCAAGGCAGATCCAAGAATGGTTCTGTATCTTTCCAACACTGCACCCACCACAGCTGCTAAAAGCTTTTATATTAGTTATGGAAAGACCCCAAGACACTGAAACAAAGGATTTAATAAGGATGGCACATGGTGTCATGGAAAGGCCTTCCCAAATACAGGAGCACCATTCCTTGCTAGAGGAAAGCACATCTGTATTTCCCACATAAGTATCATGTAATCAATTGAGGAGAAATTAAAATGTGCAGATATAATCCAAGCTGGAATTCCTACACACTGTGCCTGAAAGACAAGAGGTATAGAGAACAAAAGCTTAATTATGGGCCTTCTGGGTTCTCTGACTTTTATCAAGCCTCAGAAAAGTGACTCATCCTCCTAATGTTTGATCTGTAAAATGAGTGCAGTATTGAGCATCTGTCAGTCTGAGAAGGTATGCTGAAGCTTTAAAGAACGCTTATAAATCAACATAAGCCCTCAACTATAATATGGCATTTATTTTTCTCATAAAGAATGCCATGATATGGGGCCGGCCCCGTGGCTTAGCGGTTAAGTGTGCGCGCTCCGCTACTGGCGGCCCGGGTTCGGATCCCGGGCGTGTACCGACGCACCACTTCTCCGGCCATGCTGAGGCCGCATCCCACATACAGCAACTAGAAGGATGTGCAACTATGACGTACAACTATCTACTGGGGCTTTGGAGGAAAAAAAATGAGGAAAGTTGGCAATAGATGTTAGCGCAGAGCTGGTCTTCCTCGGCAAAAAGAGGAGGATTAGCATGGATGTTAGCTCAGGGCTGACCTTCCTCACACAAAAATAAAAAAATATCCCTCTGTAAAAAAAAAAAAAAGAATGCCATGATGTCATTAACCCTTGGAGGGGTAAAAAAATGTAAGGGGATTAGATGATTTACAGCTTTGTTTCATCCCCTACTCCTACCCCCTCAAAAGCAGCCATCCAAAATAGAGATCAGCCCCCAGTGTTCCAATCATGCTGGAACTTTGCTTGAGTAACAACTCCAAGTAAATGTAGGCCAGGTACCTCAGCACCTGCACCTCGTTACCTGCCAACTAATACGTTCTCAGTTATGCAAGGATCCTATGTAGAAAATGTTTCAATACTGCTTTGTTCTCAGAAAAATTTATACCTCAATGATAAAATCCTAGGTAACATCCTTCATCACATTATCAAAATATGTTGAGTCCTTTAGAAGTATATGAAACGATTGCATGCTCAGTATTACTGTGGAAAAAATTTTTTAATGAGTTGAATATTTTTGCCCAAAATTATTCCACTCATGGCATACGTAATAGAACAGATGCTGACATTTTACATGTAGATGGCTCCTCAGTGAAGCAGCACTTAATTAAAAGAAGGGGTTTGAGAGATTTCAGAAAATTTCATGTTCACTCTAAAAATACCAAATATTTAGTTTATTTTCTTTTTCATGAGCAAGCTAGTATGCTAGCCTAGTATCTCTTCATTTCATTATTACTAAACGCTACAGGGGCATTTAAAAATTTTTTATTAAAGTGGGAAGTCTTGCAAACAAGTAAAATTATATCATCTTTCTCAAAACACATACATGATTTTAACAGAGCAATATGAAGTTTAGAATATTGCAAATATGCAAAGGATTTTAGCCATGAAATAAGTCTTAGTAACCGGTAAAACAGGCACTTATGACCAAATGGCAATTTCACATGGCTGCAATTTTATGTACGTTTGGTAGAACGTTGAAGAAACATAGCCAGCACTTTGGAAATGAATTCTAAACAAAAGGCACAAACCCAAAAGCCCAGCTGAAACACCTTAATTCTGGGACCAGAAAAAGCAGGTCTATACTTTGGTGGTGGAAGTGGAGACGCAGCAGGGTGGCGTTCTGTTGATCACCACTATGGCCTGACTCTCCCCTCCTCCCTCATCTGCTTGTCAGGGACACACGGTGCTCATTTTAAAGATTTCAGAAGGTGAGCAACCAACCCCATGGTAGTTATCATTGTTATTTTTCTTTATAATATTTCATGTCTTCAAAGCAGATGAAAGCCTTCAAAGCCTGGTGAAAATGCCAACAACACGTGCAATGGCAGAGAACCCTGACAAATCAGTGCTGCAAAACAGTTTTGGCGGCAGGTAACAGTGAATGCAATTCACATACACAGCTATAATTAAAAGCAGAAGTAGTAAAAGGATTTCTATAACAACCTTTAGAGGTAGGGCTGTGATAAATATACTAAATAAAAGCGATTGTGAAATTGAATCTTATGTATTTTTTATTTAAAAAAGGTTAAAATTTATTGTTGTTTTTAGCTAAATAAAACAATAGCCTGCAGCTTAAAGCTTATTCATTCATTGATTCAAGTATTTACTGAATGTTCCTCTTCTGTCATGCACCGCTCTAGGAGCCAAGCATCAGCTGGGAACACAAATGACCACAACCCCCTACCCCTCAAGCTTATATTCCAGTGGTGGAATACCATTGACCCTCTCCTAACTAAACCAAAATGTTGGATACCACTTCTTACTGAACCTTACCTTAAAATGTATCACTGACCTGACAGGAACCTGGAAAGGAAAGAGCACCAAAAATAGGTTTTACCCTTCAGGGTTCTGCTAACCTATGGATTTTTAAAGTTCCTATGATAATGAAAAGAAAGTTTTAATTATGCTGAAGTTGAATTAACGATTGATACTTTTTTATGGTTAGCTTTGTATGTACGTGTGTGTCTCATTTTAAGAAAACTTTCCTTACTCCAAGTTCTTAGACATATTTTTAGAAGATATTTTCTTCCAAAAGTTTTTAAATTTTCCTTTTCATATTTAAGTATTTTATCTATCTGGAATTGACTGTGGGCATGGTGTGAGGTAGGGATTCTATTTCATTTTTTTCCATATGGCTAAATACTTGTCCCATAGGCATATGTTGAACAGTACATTCTTTCCTTGTCAGATCTGGAATGCCACCTCTTTCATACATCACAATTCCATGGCTGTGTGGATTCAGCATGTATTTTATATTCCATTCCACTCATCTATTTGTCTACCCCTGTGGTTAAAACTTTCCTTAAATAAACCTCATAGCACTTATCACATTATTTGTGGCTATTGGGATAAATGTTTTGTCTTCTATCCTCTTGGTAAGCTCTTAAGTCAATCGTGGCTATGACTTATCTTTTTATTTCTTATAGCATCAAAAATCAGTATTTCTAGATTGTAAGCTTATTTGCTAAATAAGAGATGAGGTCAGTAGCAATACTGATTCTTAGCCATAGAATGATAAATATTCCCCTCTGCAAAATCATTACCTCAACAGAACAAAATTTGTGCATGTATTAACTATATTTTCTTATTTTCTGTATTCTCTATGCCCTGGCATCTGGGGCCTCCCTGATCATGAAGGGACTGCCCCTCCCAGGGTTAGCCAATTCCTAGAGATAGCAAACAACTCACCAGGAAGTGTACCTTTCATATGCAAACCCACCAATCCACAGCTCATACCTCCCAACTACCTCCTTTATCTAGTTCTTACACATCAAACCAATACCCCACCCCTAAGCCCTAATCACGCCAGGGTCAGGTATCAGGCAACTAGGGATAGCATTTATCCTCCAGAGTCTGCTGAAATTATCCAAACTAGCCAATCCTAAATCTGCTTAGCCTGCCGTGCCTTGCCTTTGCCATGAAAATGACAACAAAGGCTGTTGTCCATGTTTTCCCCCCTCTCCTTCTGCTGCCTGACCAGCCCTGGTGCTTCCCCATGTGGTCTCCCTACATGGCATGGCATGCCCCTCTTTCTAGGGACCTGTGAGTACAAACTTCTTCCTTCATGACAATCATTTTCATGTCTGCATGTCTTGCCATATCTGATAAAGACAAACTCCAGGTACATTTTGAAACAATGCACAACAAATTTAGCTGCTACTTTCAGCAAACATGAAGTGATTTAAATGAGAAAGCAAATATAAAACTAAACTGTGAGCTTGCTAGTGATGAAAGAATTTAAGATTTTAGAAGCAGTTTATTATTCCAACCATTTGATAATTGGTAGGATTAATGTATGAGAAACAGAGATATACTCAAATTGTTTGATCATTCTCTTTGCATGTCCTAAAGATCAGGGTCACATAAGTTTTATTTTGTACATTTATGAAGAAATTGTTCTCTTAAGAACAGAAAGTTAAATTTAGAACTGTGATAATCCTTAAACTTTATCATATTACAGTTTGTCCTTTTCACAGATGACAAGATGAACTATTGAACTGAGTGTACTGATTTCTCTATACTAGTATTTCAAAGAAGAGCTAAGTATTTGGAGGAGTTAATCACAATATAGAGTGCATCATATAAAATTACCTCACACAAGTTTATTAAATTGAGCTGTCCCATGTGTACTCTGAAATGGGATCAAAACTAATCCTTCCAAAGGACAGACAAAAGAAGTAATCGCTGAATTTTCTTTCTTTTCAATAAAAATAATTAAAACTAGTTCTTGTTTAAGCAAATTCAACTTATTAAAAATTCAGTATTGCCTTTGATAGTACCACGATGATGATTCCCCTTGGATATGCTATATATTGGATCCAAAGAAGCCACTTGTTCCGTAAATGTATTAATGATTCTCAAAGAGTTTAAAGGGGTTGCAGTTGTAATTTTAACAGCAACATAGTAGAAAGGAGTAGACACAGCACTGCAATTGGAGTCAATACACTTTGGAAGCCAGTTCCTACTCGGGCACTTACTTTCTAGTTAGACTACATGATTTCTCTGGGTCTTAGTTTCTCCTTCTCTAAAGGAGAATTTGTAAGACTTGGCCTGTTTACCACATAGAATCTAAGAGGATGCCTCAAAGCTCTTTGTAAACTGTTAAATCCCTTATAAATTACAGTATTATTATTCAAAATCATTATAAAGAATTTTAAATCATTTTTAAAAGAACCAAATATTTGAGAAGCACAAATTGCTACACAATTATTTATAAAACTAAGCACATGATTTTGTTAATCATTTTCTCATTGACTTTGCAAGGCTTCTACCATTGGCAGATTTGAATACATAGACCAAAAAATCTCCACTTTTGGTCTTTTAAAGATGGTACTATAAAGGCAATACATTATTCACTTACAGCTAACTGGTTTGTTTTTCCTGTTTATTATTCTACTCTTAATTAAAATACACACACATTAAGATCATGCTTCTTGGTCTTATCTATCTCATAGATAAAACATTTTACCTAACACCATTTTTCTATGTAAATTTACAAAGTTTTAATGTTGCTCCATCAGGAATTTCCAAAAACATCAGAGATTGGTTAAATTTTATATCATAATTAATAGAAACCAAAGTTTGCTTGGTTAAAAAAAAAACTAAGGTAAAATTTTAGACTTTATTTATAGTTTAAAAACGATTTTTAGCATTTCAATAATACTATTTATTCAACATGTGCTTTCTAGTTTGTTCTTTTCATAAAAGATATCCATAGGTAAGCATGAATATGGCGGACCAGGAAGGACTTGGCTGTGGTCAGCATTTCCCACACTGAGTTCCTCAGAACACTAGTCTCTCCCGACAATTATCAAAACAAAGCAAAACAAAAAACCAACTCTCTTTGGTGCTCCCACTCTCATCAGCCCTGTCACACAGGTGAGGGAACTGAGCCTTTGAGAGGTTCACTTACCCAGGGACACACAATGTGCATGTGTACGTGTGTGCATGTAAAGAGCTAAAACTGCAGAGCGCTTCCTCACACACTGTTTGGTGCATTTGACTCATATGTTCACTCATTATTCCCCCAACAACTCTTTAATAGAGACTATTAGTATTCCCATTTTCCAAAAAAAAAAGAAATAGAACAGAGAGATTACTGGCTCAAGGCCACCCAGCAATTCCTTGGCAGAGCCCCGATGCAGACCCAGAAAGTTTGGCTCTTTAGTCCATTCACATATCTTAGAAATACAATACTCAGGGGAAAAAAATTGCAAAAAATACAAAACATTTTTGTATTTGTAAAAAATATAATGACATTTTTTAAAAATTTAAAACCAAAATTAAATGATATATTATTTGAGGACACAGATATATATGGTAAAACTATAAAGAAAGCAAGGGAATTATTATATAAAAAATTAGGGATAAGGTCACAGGGTGATGGGAGAAGGAAAGGGATTTAAGGGCCTTTAGAGAACCACACGAGTTTGGGAGCTGTTCTATTTCTTAATTTGGGTAGTAGGCTCACTGATGGTCACTTGATTATTAAAGTCCATAACTTACATATATGTCACAACTTATGCTGTATCTGTCAAATATTTTATAGTAAAAATTAAAGAAAACATTAATAAGCTATTCACACTCTTTAACTTATCCTGGATTTACGATACATGTAAGTTGGATAAATCACTCTTCTCTGTTTCCAGAGTAAAGCAAATTTGGTCAGGGATGGCAAAGGCTTGGCATGAATATCATCACTTCCTTCCATGATGGACAGTGCTTGCTGGCATGGCATGCTTCCTTCCACATCTGGCCACTGTTTTAGAACCCTCTCCATGCAGGACTCTGAGAATTCACAACTGATTATGAACAAGTGGTTGGGGCTGCCACACCAATTTGGTTGGAGGTGGCACCTCCATCATCATTGTGCTAAAGGATCCCTGGAGTTCTAGCAACTGGGAAACTCTGGGATTTCCCAACTGTTAACGCTGGTACCTCTTTTTCAAATACGCAGTTACCTGTTAAGTTTGAAGCATCAGTGGGACTCAGTTGTAACCAATGGCGGGCATCAGAGTCAGCTACAACATCTGTGGGAGTGCTCAGTTCCGTGTCGTCCTCATAGGTCTGCCATGCGCTCATGGACAGCTCTGCCTCACCATTATAGCCCAGAGCTGTGTCACTGCTGACACTTTCACCTGGCACAATGGAAGAACCAAAGTCTGAGATAACTAATAGCTGGGGATCAGAATGTTCACAATTACCAATACACAGTAACTAAACAGCTGACAACACAGCAAGAATCATTCAGGGATAGGGGCTCAAAAGGAAAAAGAAAGTTTGGCTCTGTAGTCCATTCACATATCTTAGAAGTACAATACTCAGGGGAAAAAAGTTGCACAAAATACAAAATATGACATTTTTTAAAAGTTTAAAACCAAAATTAAAGGATATATTATTTAAGGACACAGGTATATATGGTAAAACTATAAAGAAATCAAGGGAATTATTGTATAAAAAAATTGGGGATAAGATCACAGAACGATGGGAGAAGGAAAGGGATTAAGCCCCTGTGTGGGGCTCTTGGTCAATGAAACAAAGCTTTCAAGCACAGGGTATTAATAGTCATTATGAGCTCCACTACACATCACTCAGGCAGCATTCTTTTCAAGGGGTCTTCAACTCAGCTATCCGGTATACCCAAAAGATTACATCAAGTCCTTAAATTTTCTACTGCAACTTATTCAACTACAAAATGGGGATGGGTGGAGGAAGAGAGTGGGAATTGATTCCATTGCAAATGCAAGTTTATTCTGCTGGCTAGAAGAGTCTAAGGATGCTTTATTCCTTGAGCTTGATGTCTAGACCCAAATCTAGGGTCAATCACCCAGGATCACTAGGGGATGAAGTGTCCCACCACAGAAGATTTTCTCCAATAGAAATTCTCTACTTTAAACACTAAAAAGTTCTAATTTCTCTTAATACAATGATGCTTTAAAGGCTATTAAGCCTTTTAGGCTAGTTAGTCTGACACAAAACAGACCTAGCCAGTGTGCTCCTCAAAGTCTCCTGTCTACTTCATAATAATTCCACGTGTCTCCCCTTTCTGTCTGCTCACTGTCCCAGCTGCTCTTTCTATCTGCTGGTGACAGTCCCCAGCCTTGCTACTTCTAATCTCTTGTCCTCTCTCCACTCACAAACAACTGACAGTTGTCCCAGCCACCAGATAAACTGAAAGTTGTCCCAGTAATCAACCTGTTAGGTCCCTAACTTCATCTGGCACAGAACTCTAAGCCAACACGGTCTCAAGGTGGAGCCTAAGAGGAGCTCCTCTGTGCTCCACGAAGAACCATCCTAGATCTGCAGGAGTTGTTTACTATGCTACTCTGAGAAGGAGATGGCCAGGCACCTGACATCAGGGAAGCAGAGTATTAGGGCTACATTTTGCAGTATATATGATAATGTGTCACAGGATTCCAATCAAATTTCATTTTTTAAATATTTATACTATTGACTTCAACGTACTTCTAAGGCTTTTTGCTGCTAGCCTGTGAGAACTTTCTGGGGAAGATCATTTTCCTTCTGGGTCTGTCTACTCACCCAGCCATCAGCCTTGGTTGTGCCTCTCACCTGGAGAAAGGCCCAGGGGTGGAAAGACAGGCCTCTAAGGTATAGGTGACTGACTGGAACTGGTCTATTGTATGTGTGGACTAACCATCTATCAATCCTGGGATTCCAGGAATAAAAATGTCCCATTTTACAACCATGTCTCTTCAGATGCTAAGATATCATTCAAGTCAGAAAGTAAAAAGAAAACAAAATACATGAACTCTGAAGTTGGATGAACACAGATCACATTTCCTGGAACTTACTCTTCTGTCTTTCCCTACATTTTCCTTGCGTCTGCTGCAAATCATCTTTTAAATCCAATTCAGCAGGGCTGCTGCTTCTTCGAACTAAGCTCTTTAGACAAAAAGAAATATTGCATATGTTACAGGAAAGTTTTAATTTTAAAAGATTGTTAAGCTTCTAGTCCACATTTCTAAAGAAATAGAAACAAATAATCATAATAGCAACAAAAAATTGAATGACATTTTCCATTTGAAGGATATGTGTTCACAAATTACTATAATTGAATTATAAATTACTCAAGATCTGAAATTTATGGCTTCTACTTTCTCAACTGACATCCAATTAAATTGGTCTACTGACAAGGGATGCCAAATTATATGGAAATAATTTATTTTAAAGTTCTATTCCTTCTTCGGCTTGAGCACAGATATATAGTAAATGCAGGTCTCCAGAAGGTCCAAATTACCCACAAATGATGAGTGTGCTGGCAGGGAAGGTGTACACTCCACCCAGACTTCTAAAGGTCACTTAGGGCCTTCCTTGTTAAATGTGCAACAGACTTCCCTGAGCACTGCTCAATACTGGACCTTGTATTAAATACAGTGAATGAAAACATTTGGAGGCAATCTGCATCCTCGAAAATTTATAACTTGCTTGGAGAAACAAAACATACACAAATTACACAAAATGATTACAGTGTACATAAGCAAAATATGCAAGTAAACTCTATAAGGTATGCAGAATAAAGTGTTACCTTAATTGGCTCACAGTTACAGGAGAGCTGTTCAAGAAGGCAACAGACATGAAGTGGTAGAGAGAAGGCAGGAGGGGATTCAAGGCAGGAAGCACTGAGTGGTAATCAGCAAGTTCTATGTGCAGGAAAAGAAGCTGATTATAGCAGGCCATGCAGGTAAAGGATAGTCAGGTAAAGAAGGAAAATGGTAAGAAGAAAATGCAGACCACCTTCTAAAAGAGGCAGCTGCCAGTGGACCTTCAACATCAGGCTTAGGGATTTCAACCCAATACTGACAAAATGAGCAACTGTGTGTTTCAGACAATAGCTTACTGTGATTAAAAAACATAACTAGAAAGATAAGTCTAGTAGTTATCTGTGGGACAGATTAGAGTTAAGAAGAAAATTCTATGGAACTGTTATGGTAATTCAGGGATAAGCAGATAAGGCTTTTGATGGTGGAAAAGGAGAAGAAATGATAAGAAAATACTGCAGAAAGACAGACAACAGCTTTATAAGAGCTGTATATAGGAGTGGAAGAAAATTAAATCACAAAAGGATATGAATCTAGGGGACCATGAGAATGATGGTGACGAAGGAAGGAAGGAAGGAAGGATGAAAGGAAAGACAGTCAATGGACAAACAAACTTGAGGAAGTTTCTGATATTTTAATTTTCACCTTTGGGCTGAATATCCAAAGAGAATGCACCATAAGTAGGCAAAAAAGTCCAGAACTAGTGAGATACAGGATAAAGCCAGGAATGCAGATGTAAATTTAAGGTCCTCCAGTGCAGAGCGTATAAAAACCATGGGATTCAGTGAGCCAACTAAAGAAATGAACGTTAAACAAGCAAATAAATGAAAAGGGGGGACCAAGCTGTATAATTGAAAGACAGAATAATTATTAAGCTAAAACACAGAAGTAGGTCACAAATAAAATATTTAGGGGGGCCAGCCTGGTGGCATAGTGATTAAGTTCTTGCACTCTGCTTTGGTGGCCTGGGGTTTGCAGGTTTGGACCCCAGGTGCGGACTTACACACTGCTCGCCAAGCCATGCTGTTGTGGCAACCCACATACAAAAAACAGAGGAAGACTGGCAGAGATGTTAGCTTAGGGACAATCTTCCTCAAGCAAAAAGAAGACTGGCAATAGATGTTAGCTCAGAGCCAATCTTCCTCACCAAAAAAAATATATATATATACATTTAGAAGACTAACACTAATTAAAAAAAAATTACCTCACACTAAAGAAGGAGATACATATATATATATATATATATATATATATAGTGTGATAATGGAAATATGCCCAGGATACTTCCTTAATTGAAAAGCAGAATGTGGCTCTTCTACTTCTGAGTATATGAGAGACGAAATACCCTCCAGCTACAGAACTAGATCCTACACAAAAATTTGAGGCTCACAGGAAGTAAAATAAACCTCCAAGTGATTCATACTCTCCCCTCCTCCCCAAAAGTGAGCAGAAACCAGGGCCATTGTAAGGGTAAATCTAATATTATCACTGCCAGTGGCAAAAGGACCGAGACCCCAGGATTAAAGTAGCACTCCATGGTTCCTGCAAGAAACAAATGCAAATGTTGTCCTGGTGAAACTCCATCACTTCAGACATCCAGGTTTTCTGTAGATTGAGATCAGCCAGCTAGGAACTCACAATCAAGGATTACCAAACACCAAAGGAAATAAATCACCATGCACAAGAGTCACAGAAACAACAAATATCAGATTTAGACCCTCCCCAAGAATTTGAGACAATCAGATAAAGAATTCAGAATTTCAAATTGTGACTATTTCAAAGGAATAAAAGATGGGAACCACAAAAACGAGCAAGTAACAAGAGATTATTAGAAATTATAAGATATACTCGAAAAATGTTAACCTGAACTTTGCAAAAGGTACAACTGTTGAACTAAAAAACTCAACTGAATTATCAAATAGCAGGCTATCTATGAGTAAAGAGAGAATTATTGAATTGAATGAAAGACAGATCTGATACATTACAGAGAATGTACCCAGAGGGCCGAGGAGAATGGAAAATATGAAAGAGGGCTTAAGAGACATGGAAGACAGAATGAGGAAGTCTAAATATAGCTCTACTCAGAATCACAGAAGGAAAGAGCAGAGAGAAGGAAAAAGAAGCAATATTTGAAGAAATTATTACAAAGAATTTTCCAGAAACAATGGAAGAACAAGCATTCACAAATACATGTCACATAGGATATACAAAAAACGACAAATGTAAAAACCAAAAGAAAATGCACTTAAATATACTGTAGTGAAGCTGAAAGACAAAGACAACAGCAAGGAACAACAAATAGACAGGATGGACAAAACACTTTTCAATAGCAACAATGAAAGACAAAAGATAGTAGAAAAAATACCTTTCATTTGAAGGGGGAGGAGAAGGGAGAAAGAAGTGGGGGAACTACTGTAATTAAGATGTTGTAGTACTGTCCAGAGAGACAAAGCAACCAACGAATCAAGATAAGAAGCACCAAAATAAAGCCTTACACATCTGGGAGACAGTATATATGACAAAAAGGTAGCATTTCAGATCAATGAAGGAAAAATGGATTCAATAAATGTGACCTAGGACAAGTGGTTATCCATGTGGGGAAAAAAATAAAATTGGATCCCTACCTCACTCCAGAAATAAGAATCAAATCTAGATGGATGAAAGACTTAAATGTGCAGAACAAAACTGAAACACTTATAAACATAAGGTAATATTTTTATCCCTGTAGAGTTGGTATTTTAAAATTTTCATAAAACCTAACCATAAAAAATGATTGATAATCAAGAATATCAAAATTAAGAACTTCTGTCATCAAAAGATACCATAGAGAAAGTGAAAATATAAGGCACACATTGGAAGAAGATATTTGCCGGAAACATAACCAAAATAGGATCAGTATTCAGACTATATAAAGAATTAGTACAAATAAAAGAGAAAGACAAACAAATCAATAGGAAAATGGCAAAGACATCAGTAGGCATTTCACACATGAAACACACATGGTCAATCAACATGGAAAGATTTTCAAGTTTATCCGTAATCTGAGAAATGCAAAATAAAATGGGATCCCATTTTCACCCATGTGACTCATAATTTTTAAATCTGACAACAGAAAGTGTTGCCAAGAATGTGGATGAATGGGAACTCTTTACACATTGCTGGCAGAAATATAAGTCATGCAACCACTTTAGAAAACACATATTCTTTTGTAAAGAACAACATTCTTCTCTACTCTATGACTCATTAATTCCGTTCTTAGATAGCCACCATAGAGAAAACCTAAAACATGTAGATCTTGAAACACATACAAGAATGTACATACCTGCATTTTTAATAAAACAAAAATGAAAACTTGAAACTATCTAAATGTCCATCAAGAAAAGAATGGAAAAATAAATTGTGGTATATTCACAGTGGAATATCAAACAGCAGAGAAAATTTAATGAACTATGGCTACATGCCACAACGTGGATAAATCTTAAACACACACAACTGAGTGAACAAAGCAATAATATCACTTTCGTATAGTTTAAAAATAAGGAAAACTAAAGGATATATTGTTAGGAAATACATAGATGTAGAGCAAAACTATAGAGCAAAGCAAGGATGTGATAAACACAAAGCCAACATAATGCTGCTCTCAGAGGGGACAAGGAAGGAAGTGAAAGGCCAAAGCAACAACACCGGAAACTTTCTAGTTCTAAGTGAATGATGGGTTTGTGGGTGTTTGTTTGATTGTTGAAAAATATACAAAAATCACACATATATACAGAATATACATATATATAAGCTAGTATATGGCCTTTTATTTTTATTTTTTGTGTGTGAGGAAGATCAGCCCTGAGCTAACATCCATGCTAATCCTCCTCTTTTTGTTGAGGAAGACCGGCTCTGAGCTAACATCTATTGCCAATCTTCCTTTTTTTTTTTCCCCACAGCCCCAGTAGATAGTTGTAGGTCACAGTTGCACATCCTTCTAGTTGCTGTATGTGGGACACAGCCTCAGCGTGGCCAGAGAAGCGGTGCGTTGGTGTGTGCCCAGGATCCAAACCTGGGCCGCCAGTAGTGGCACGCGCGCACCCAACCGCTAAGCCACAGGGCTGGCACTAGTATGTGCCCTTTTAAAAAATAAAGATGGAAGAAACTTAACACTGGTTATCTTCCAGGTAGGGTGGAATGGGAAGAGGCTTTCTCTGTTTATTTTGTACCTTTCTGTGATGCCTGAGTTTTCTATTAATACATACTACATTTTTTAAAAATGAATAGGGGCCAGCCCCGTGGCACAGTGGTTAAGTTCAGTGCGCTCCACTTCGGCAGCCTGGGTTCACGGGTTCAGATCCCGGGCATGGACCTACACCACTCAGCAGCCATGCTGTGACGGCAACCCACATACAAAGTAGAGGAAGACTAGTACAGAAGTTATCTCAGGGTGAATCTTCCTCAGCATAAATAAATAAATAAATAGGAGTTATCTTCCTGAATGAGTTATGGGCTATTTTTCAATTTTCTTATTTATACTTTCCATTTGTTTTTTAAAAAAAAAAAAAAGCTATTTTACATTTTAAAAAAAAGAAACCATAACAGATCTTGGCAAAAGCTCACTTATCTAGCAACTCATGTCAGGTAGAAGCTACTACCTAAAGCAATGTCACGAACAGGGAGTCTGAATGTGCATTTGACAGGCAAGGATACTTGCTTAAAAATACAGTGTCATGTACAGACCAGGTAGTAAATTCCATTTTCAATTTTTGTAATGTGACTGCAAGTTTACACAGAAAGCAAGTACGACTTTAAAAGATCTCAAGGTCATTTAGGCCTATAACCCGTCTAAATGGAAAAAAATTTTAAAAGAAAGTATCACTGCCACTAATAAATGTATTTATTGTGCCAATAATTTAATGTTTATCTTGAATGACAAATGGATGCAGTTGGAAAATATCTTACTGTTATCCCCTCATGTTCTTTCTTCACATGTCCTTTCCTCTCTTGAACAGGCTTAGGCTCTGAAGAGCTTAGATTCTGTGCATGTTCTACCTTTTGACCTAGAGATTTGGGGAGAAAAATCAACAGAAGGAATATTTCAAATGGTAAAACTGGAAAAACATTTTTATATATAGGTAATTATTAAATTTAGATATCTTAAGATATGTAAAAATAGGAATTATGGACCTGACAAACTCGTAGCCTATGGGTCAAGTCTACTCCATAGACCTGGTCTCTGACCCACAGAGAGCTTTTCAGAGATACTGAAATGCTATTCACTGTAGCCAATGGGTCCACTCAGCACATTATGTTGGCACAGGCGAGGGCAACAACATCTGTCCTGGGGGCTGTGGGGGAGGGATCTCAGAGGAAAGCTGCCTGAGTTAGCCAGCTGAGCTGACAGGAAAAGAGTGCAATAAGGCAGCTCAGTATTGCCTGAGAACAAAGACTGATGAGAGAGCACATGTCACCAGCATCGGTCATAAAAAACCAAGTATCGCCACAAAGCCTGCAAACATTAAAAAGATCATAAGAGGATTTTATGCATAATCTGGGGCCAATAAAATTTTTAAAAATGTATGAACTGAACAAATTCCTAGAAAAATACAACTTATCCAAATCAAAACAAGAAAAGGAAAACCTGGACAGTCTTACAATGATTTTTAAATTTGAATGATATTTTAAAGTCTTCCTATATGAAAACTCCAGGCAACTAGTGGATTCTATCAAAGATTTAAGGGGAAAAAAAATCACAACAATCTTACAAAATCTTTTGTAGAAAAGTAAATCTTTCAGACAATACATTTCTCAAATTATTTGTTACTATATTTTCTTATTTCAAGAGGATTTCTAAGAGGGAATACTTCCCTATTCATTTGATGAGGAAGCATGACGTTGACATTAAGAACTATGAGATAACTTGTTGGTAAATAAGGTTGATTTATTTCTTACTTAACTCATGAAACTAAAACTCAATATGTTCATTGACACCAGACACAATTTAAACATGTGCTTTCATTGTAAAATACATTATTCACTGTTTACAGGTCTAATCATCTGCCTCTTTGCTCTCCATGCCCTGTTGTTGCTGAAAGCTGTTGGAGAAACTGTGTAGATTAATGCTATTACAACTTGTAATTTTCAACCTCAGCAGAGTCTATAAGCTGCTAATAAACTTTTCCACGGGTCTGGTCAGCTTTCTGCTCTCACTGACAACTTGTATGGCTCCTCACAGCCCATTCCCACATCCTCCTCAACCTGCCACCCTGCCTTCTTCCTAACTTGCTGCTCCTCCTGACCTTGTGGCGTAACATTCTCTGCCTCCCGCCTACTCTAACCACTCTGAACTTCTTTACTTCTTTCTAGTCCTCAAAGATGCCACACTTGGAAAAAAGTTCACATATGTATATATAATTTAGATAGACATATTAAAATAGTGAAAATATTTCATTGCCAGAAATCTATCCCTGCGATCAACTTAAAAAGTAAATTTCCTTGAAATAAATAGAGGTGGAATAAATGTAGACAGTAATACGGCATGCAGCTTCTTCCCAGCCAGAATCGATAGTGCTGTGCTGGTGACTGAAGCTCCTCATACCCTGAGAAGAGTCTGCGCAGAGGGGCTCAGTGACATCAGGTGTGCTGCTGCTCCGGACAAGCTGCTGCGGCGGCTCAGCCGCCAGGAGGCCAGACTCAACTGGAGGTGGGTTTCGTAACTGCTGACACTCTTCCACTTCTGTGGGCGTTAATACAAAACATGCATGGGCGAATTTCAAGATTTTAAAAAATAATTTCACCACATAAAACAACTTATTCTAAAACTGTGGTTTTAGATACTTTTTTCCACAAAAACTGGGCAGTAAGGTAATCTGCATTTACATCATAAAGTTTTCTACACTTGTTTACAGTAATATTCCACTCCAAAAACACATTTTCCTTTTAAGTTTTACAAAGCATTTTATTTTTCAATCAAAGTAAAGGAAAAAAAATAAGAGAAAAATCCACAGAAATGGTTGAGAACTGCAAAAGTCCTTTGGAATTTCAAGGACAGGCATGCCAAGGAAAGAGAGTTCAGGAGCTACAGGGATAGGTCATTTACATTTGAGGAGAGTGGAAAGTAGCACACACCCTAAATAAAGAAGAAAAAAGGAAATGAGAATTTCAGCTCCACTATTCCTTTTTACAAATAAATGCACAACTGTCCAAATAAAATACTATAATTATTTAATGGTTTATATCACCAAATGCAACGTTCAATTAGTCACTAAAGTATAAAAATGATCCACTGGTATTTTTAGAGAATCGATATGTATATGTCATAAAATAGAAAACCACAGGTGAGTACTAACCACTGGATAATCTCAGCTAGCATTCTTACAGACTATATTCTCCTCGAGAGTGAGTTCCCTCCTAGCTCATTTCTAAACTTCACAGTCCATTCTAATCTCTAAAGACAACCTAAGGCACTGGAAGAATCATCCCACGCTCCCTCTCTAGAATCACAGCTTTGGGGTTGCATCATCTTTTGCCTGTTATTATATTGCCTCCTAACTGGTCACTGTCCCCCTTTTCTTGCCACCCTCAACCTATCCTCTATGTGGCCCCAGAGAGGTCCCTCTAAAGTCAAGATCTGATTGTGCCACTCCTCTCCTGCCAAGGCCCTCCTTCACTGTACAGTCAGGCCCATGCTCCTCACAGTGAATACAGGCCTCTCCTTGATCTCACCCCACAGATGTGAGCCCCCCACAAGGAGCTCTCACCGACTTTAGTCTCAAGCAATCCTAGCCCACTTGGCACTTGCTGCTCTCTCCCTTCTACTGCTCACTCCTCTATGCTAACCTCAGACTTGTTCCCTCCCCATCCCCTCCCGGGCTGCCTGGGCACCCCTCCTACAGGACTTGCCATGTGTGAACCCCACCGCTGCATCCCTCACCAGGCTCCACACTCACTCATGTAGTCATGAAATTTTACACCCATATGACTATAACATCATATTTTCCAAAAACTTTAATTAGCTAAAGTTTCACTCCTTCTAAGAAGAGACTGATCAAAATTCAGCCTGTATTATCCTACCTTGCAGTGTCACCCAATTCCTCACCTGCAATGAGACTCACTGTCAACATGCCACCCTCTGTGTAACTCTTTAATCCAAGCCACATGCCAAAGCACTGGCTCACCCTAACCAAGAAGTTGTATGTAGGAAGATTCTAAATATAATACACAGGATTTCAACAAAGAGTTGTTGCTTTATTTTTACTATCTAAATAAAAATCCCATTTTAAAGTACACTGATACAAGTTATAAGACATCAAAAGTATGCAATCTATGTGACCCTTCATTTATAATTCAGAGTACTGAGCCATAGTCTAAATTTAGATACTAATGGGAAGCTGAACTTAAGGCAGGCCCAGGCAGCAAGAACAGACAGACCCACTAACGATCCCTCTTTCAGGTTGTCTTTGCTCTTCTCATCTCATGAATAGCCAAGAACTATTCATTTCCTCACAGAGGAACACAAGGCATATGTACATATTTGTGATCTATCTATTCATCAAAGCATAGACTAGGCCCTTTCCATACGTCTACTTCTAGGCTCTTCGGCATTAGGCAACAGAAGTCAGATAACACCATGGGGCCAGCCCCTTTCGGCTGTCTTCTTTCGTTGTTTATTCTAATTATGCAAGACACTGAAACATTCTGAGAAGAGTTTATATTTGTTAACTAACCTACTTTTTAATCCATTATCAGTAGAGGGAGCCCAAGAGCTTCCTAGTTCCCTAAAAAATAACTGGCCAGCGTCAATTTTTACGGATAGTGGGAAGAGTGGGTTTTATTCACTTAAACTTGATGCCAAAAACTGTTAGATGCTGGTTTCTGGGCTATGAGCAGAAACAAATAAGAGCTGGGCCAACACTGGCAGCATCTTTTTAAAGATAAAGAACATCGCCATCTGGTGGGATGCAATACAGCCACAGCATCATGGCTTCCAAATTTGAGTGTCCCCACTGGTCCTAGATACAACAGACAGACGAAGAGCCTGCCATCACCAGCTGGTCTGCCTTCCCAACAGGCTGGCCTAATGCAGCTTTAAGGCTTTGTTTTTCTAAAACTGTTGGTAGGGACTTCTCAGGTAGAGAAAGGCCAAGCTTGCAGAAATCACCGGAATAGGTGAGAGTGGGAGCATCTGTGATGAGGGTGGAGAGGAAGGGAGGAGTCAGGACGTCAAGTGTGCTGTTAGGGCTGTTGTGCTACTGATGCCCTGAGCTACTCCCGCAGTTGACTTACGTGATGCAGTGTGAAAAAAGAATTTTAAATTCTCCTTCTTCCACAATTTAAACCCAATTTCCTGATTTGTAGGTGTACATTTCTTGGCCTTCTCTCACACTCTGTACTAAGTATATACTCAATATATGTTTTGTACAAATGAACAAATACCAAATACATTTTCTTGATACCTTTCTCCTTGTTATTTTCAACAGTTCTTGAGCTCCCTCTGCTGGCTTTTTTATTTCTTAAGAAAGCAATTGTTTAAGCTGCTCCCATTCTACAGTGTCAGCTGTAGCGGTCACTCTTCCATAACAAATTAAAACCATTTTAACACTGATATGCAAATATCAAGATACAAGATTATCTGATATTCAAAACAGAAAAACAACAGTCTAAGTTATGTAAAAATCACATTATAAATTCTGAGAGGTCTAATGCATTCTCTGCTTTGAATATCATACAATCTCTGCTTGAATCACTTCAGAGAGCTAAATTCTATCTCAGATTCACCAAATCATTCACCTTCTCTCAAGCATAGCTAATCCAATAATCCAAATTTTAAAAGCACTAACTTTCTAGCTTATTGACAATGTAAGTTACACAACACCATTACTAAAACATTGCTTTCTAAAGCTCCATTCAAAACACCAGTAAAATGATCAAATAAGGATTACTCAATTTCATTTTTTCCCCACAGAGAGAAGAATCTATATGATTAAATTAAATTAAGTGTGTAAACTCTTCAGAAAATTCTATTTTCCAGATGTCTGACTACTTTTCAAAGCAATTTCACTCTTTAATCTAAGGCTTCCTTAATCAATCTTATTAAATGGAGTGAGACTCACTCTTCAATTACCAAAATTCTGGGTTCCACTTACGCCTCATATAAGGTTGTATAAGTGAAATTAATAGTGTAATTTCCTAACTATTAAAGCATTGTGCATGACACCAACTTGACCCTATACAAAGCACCAGAGATGTAAATCAACTCAACATCTTGAGGTTTCCCACAAGATCCGAAAGTGATTCCGCCCAGACCCTGAAAACAAGCACGTCCTGACCCTGAAAACAAGCACGTCCTGACAACGGGGTACCACCTGGAAGGCAGAGAACCAGAGGCAGAAGCAGCTAAGTGAGCCTTTCAGTTAGGTCCCATTAAGTCTCTTTCAGAAAGAGGGAAGATCACTGATCCTCTAATTATTACTATTAAAATGTTCCTAAAAGAAAAATAAAATCTACCATCTGCGTAGCCTGTTAGCACTACAGATTGATAAATGTCCCAAGGTAAAAGCAGTTAAAATTGTAAAACAGCTGGAAAGAATTGTTACCACAAAGGAGAAAAAGAGAAGTCACTGAAAGTGCCAGTTCTGCCTCCCAGGTGTGTGTTTATGTAGCTCTTTATATTAATGCAATACAGGTGGTATGACTTTCCCAAAACTCTGCTGCTGCCAAAGGAACAATCCCAAAGGGATCAGAATAAGATATGACAGTAGCCCAAGGTAAGTAATTCTCTATTGTTTATATTATTAAAACAATTTTGGTTGGTTTAAGTCATATGGATTAGAAACAAAAACAAGAAATATTAACGTAAATGAAAACAAAATTACAATCATTTTTATAGTCAAGAACTTGTGGCCAGAAAGTCAACATTAAAAGTGTCTGCTTAGGCCGGCCCCGTGGCTTGGCAGTTAAGTGCGTGCGCTCCGCTGCTGGTGGCCCAGGTTCGGATCCAGGGCAAGCACCGAGGCACCACTTCTCTTGCCATCCTGAGGCCGAGTTCCACATATAGCAACTAGAAGGATGTGTAGCTATGACATACAACTATCTACTGGGGCTTTGGGGGGGGAAAAATAAATAAATAAAATCTTTAAAAAAAAAAAAGTGCTTGTTATGCATATGTGGATGTACACCCATCTATATCTATATTTATCAACAGGTTAGCAAGATATGCCAACACACTCAGACTTAAATCAGAGTGCAAATTTAATACTCTAGTGAGCCAACCAGTGAAGAATGTACAATCTAAGACTGAGGATTGATATGCATTGCTCTTGGCCACTTCTCTTGACAGGACAGTCACAAATGACAATGGCATCACTTTAATAGTAAAGAACAAATGGCATCAGACTAAGGCACAGCTTGCTACTGCAGTTGTCAGATGACACAGACAGAATAGCAGATTGTTCTCAACGTCACATACTGCTAAGTCTCTGTAACTTTTGTGCTGTAAAACCAGGAATAAAGATGGCAAAGGCAGGAAAAAACAGACCCAGCACAGCCTACTTCACTTCATTCTAAATCAGGGTCTCTCAACCTCAAGACTATTGATATTTGGGGTCAGATAAATGTTTGTTGTGGGGGCTGTCCTGTGCATTGTAGGATGTTAGCAGCATCCCTGGCTTCACCCACTGGTGCCAGTGGCACTGCCCCAGTTGTGACAACCAAAAATGTCTCTAGACATTGCCAAAT